ACATAAAATTCCATTTCTTCGCCAACTACATTATTAGCGCATAATAGATTTTATGCGCCTACATAGTTTGATGTAACAAAAAACATTCTTTGGAAATCAGCTTCTGAAAAAAAAATTCTCAAAAAGTATGCGCGGTGGCGTTTTTTACAAGAGACAGAAAATGTAGTAAATACTACAATGACAATTTTACGAAAAGAAAATCTGCCATCGGTAAAGTTGAAAAATATTTACACTAAAATTTATGTAGGGGTGGGGGTAGTTTTCAGCCTTCCTGTACGTTTCCTTAATTTTTGTGAAAGTCAATGTTAAAGCACTTAGCAAGAAAGCAAGACACCCAAAATTTCAGTCAAATCGGCATAACGGTTCTTAAAATATCTGAAAATATGTGTTTATTTTTTTTAAATTTGACGCCCTCTAACGGACAAACGAATACTGAGAGGTAAATTGTGTGTAATAAACTTGATTCGAAAAATACGTAGTAGTTCTATGTCCACGCAATATTGGGGCATCCTGTATATCAAAAAGAAAATGAGAAAAGAGCTTTATTAAGATAGACAAAACAAAGTAACATTCATATTTAGTAAGGAAAAAAAATACAATTAATTCTTGTTGCAAATAAAATAAAATATAGCAAACACGGAAATACAACTTTTAGATATTGGCATACTGGTTAGTATAAATTATAAATAAAATATGATCTTTGAAAGACTAAAGTGTATTAATTCGATTCATTTTAGATTGGGCATTTAAATTTTTCGAGATTATCCGGATACAGGGATGTAGTATCGGAATTTCGGGGATAAACATACACCGGGATCCCGGTTTGGAAACTCTAGTTTAAAATTTATTTAGGCCTGTATTGTATTTGTATTCGCGTCTCTGTCTATCCTAGCAACGCAAACAATGATTAACAACGCAAGCTGTTGCTAGGATATTCTATCTTTTTTTTTCCATAGCAACTGTTTAACCGCAAGGGTAGATTAAATGATATTTTAACAGCGAGGATAGGTTAGAAACTTTATTTTTTCTTGCACGTGTTTTAATTGCTACCATTTTTGAAAATGTTTGTATTCCTTTTCATAAGTTATTCGGTATTTAAATGGAAGTAGTTTGGATATGGCGTTTGTCGCCTCAGCCTGAATATCTGTTGGTAATTTACTTATTTCGTTTTGAGCCATTTCTGGCTCCAATTCAATCAGCAATCGACACGAAAGAGAATTAAAAAATATTGACTCAAAACTGACAACTAAAGAGACAGCTTTATTTATTTGTCAAATTACATATAGAAACCAACGCCAACCCAGCACAATATTTGTTCTACTCGTAATAAATTCCTTGAAATAATAATTTCTGAATATTTTTTTAAAACGTAACTCGCTATGGAAAAAAATATTGTTTTATACACGACGATAAAATTGCATTATCGTCTCCCGAAATTAATTCACTCGCGATTTCATCGCTCGTGAATTAATCTTTTCGGTCGATGATAAAATACCATTTTATGGTCTTGTATAAAAAATAACTTAAAATAACAGGTCACTACCCCAAACAGTGGTTGCGTTCTACTTTTATACCCCTGCCTAAGAAGACCAATGCCAGAAAGTGTAAAGATCACACACTTATCAGCCTGATGAGCCATACCCTAAAAATATTTCTGAAAATAATATACCAGAGAATTTACAGAAAATGTGAAAGGGACATAAGCGATTTGCAAATAGGGTTCAGACAAGGGTTAGGCACCAGGGAAGCGATAGTTGCAACACAGGTGCTTGTCCAGAACTGCTACGATCAGAGAAAGGATGTGTGCCTGTGTTTCATAGACTACGAAAAGGCATTCGATCGCGTACACCACCACAAATTAGTGCAGCTTCTGTAAAGACTTGATATAGATCATAAAGACATCCAAGGCATTGAGAAGTTATACTGGAACCAAACAGCGCAAATAAAATTGTCCAATACCATGTTCAATCCCATACAAGTTAGAAGGGGGGTGCGACAGGGTTGCGTGCTGTCTCCACTCCTATTTAATTTATACTCAGAAGCTATTTTCCAAGAGGCTCTGGAGGACGTGGAAATGGGGATCAAAGTTAATGGAGTGTGGATTAATAATATTCGCTATGCCGACGACACGGTCTTAATTGCAGACAATATACACGACCTACAACAACTGGTCAACAAGGTAGGAGAACAGAGCAAAGCAATGGGATTAAACATCAACATCAAGAAAACCAAATTTATGATTATATCCAGAAACCCAGATGTGTTTATAAACTCCATACTAACATTTAACTCAAGGCCCATAGAAAGAGTAGATAAATTTAAGTACTTGGGCATCTGGCTCTCCGAAGATTGGACATCAGACAAGGAAATTAAATGTCGCATCGCAACAAGCTCGGCAGGCATTCTTGAGATTTCGAAAAGTACTTGTCTGTTCTGATTTTGACCTTAGCCTTAGATTAAGATTCGTAAAGTGTTATGTGTAGTCTGTGCTCCTTTATGGTATGGAAGGTTAGACATTGAAAGCAGCTACCATCAACAAATTGGAGGCTTTTGAGATGTGGCTATATCGCAGAATCCTGAAGATACCTTGGACGGCTAGATTGACAAATGAGGAAGTTCTCTGACGCGTTGACAAAGAGCGTGAATTATTTGAATTGATTAAAAAGAAAAAGACCGCATACCTGGGACACATAATGCGAAACCCCAAATATCAATTCTTGCATTTGTTGATAGAAGGCATGATCGAAGGCCGAAGGGGTATCGGAAGGAAGAAAATGTCTTGGCTGAAGAATATCAGACAGTGGACGGGGCTACTCGATGTTCAGTCGTTAATACACACCGCCCGGAACAAAGAAGCAATGGAAAATGTTATCGCAAACATTCATTAATGGATCTGCACTAGAAGAAGAAGATAAAAAATAACTATAATTATTGTATTTTTTAGAAATTGTGAATGCTCGTAGTCTTTTAAGTATAAAGTATAATTTAAACCACTAATTTATTCCACTAATTTCGAGGTGATAAATGAAGTTTAAAACATACTCCAGTAAATTTACAAATTAAAAGCTTCTCCATTCACCACTAATATATCATTTTATTACTAAAACGCATCAGAGAAGTTCGCCAAGTCTGACCGTCCATGAATATTAATACCTTTCAACCGTCCATTTTTTATTAGCGGCCGTTTATGCTTTATCCGTTTTTGAGCTTCCAATAACTCCATTATTTGCATAACGTAATCTATGAGCAGCGAACAGCAGGTACCCTATCTGCTGCGATCGCGGTTAACAATCTTCGCAGTCGCGGTACTATAAGCTATCGGATCCGCTTTGAAAAAGAATTCTGCAGACAAAAACCTGCCGCCGACCGACCGAAGGCGCATCTTCGTGGTTGCTTTATTTCGAATAGCCGACACTTTTTCTGGCCTCTTTCGCTTGTTTTCTTTTTGTTTTGTTGGTAACCCGCTCGAAAATTCCTCATGTTAATTTAGTCACTTATTTACTCCTTTGTCCTTGCCCTACGTTATGTGTTTTATTTTTATGTGTGTATTCTTGATATTGCATTCGGTTATAGGTTTATTCTTTGCTGAATACAGTCGGGATTGGGGCATTTGGTGTTAAAACAGCAAAATAAAACACTGATTCATCACAAAACACTTCACTCTTTACACTGGAGGCGCGTTTCGCTAACCATGTTAGCATCATCAGCAGATGATTAAAACTGAATTGAGTTTTAATCACAACATGGGTAGCGAAAGGCGCGTCATTAAAATGGTATTTTGATTTATTTTCCTTATTCTTTGCTGTTAGCTTTGAGTAACAGTGGCGGAAGATCTATAAATTGGTTTAAATATTAGGCTTTTGTATTAAAAATGCGCCCTAAAAAGCATATTCTACATTATTTCTTATTTCGGCCCCTCCTAAAATGAATTCCTGTATCCGCCCCTGTTGAGTACTAAAATGATTTGAAGACATCTGAAGACTTTCCACTGCGATCGAAAGGAACAAATCTAATATTATTATGTTGGGAAGAACAAAATTTGATCATACGACATCAACAGAAAAATGAAAGAAAAGAAAGAATTTCATACCCATTACGTTAAACCAAATTAAATATTGTTGCATTACGTTAAACCGAATTTAATGCAAGTTGCTCAAAGTACACTTTAAGCATTCAAATATCTATTGCAATATAATTTTCAACCATCAATCTCAAACACATGTTTCTAGTATTTTTATTTTTTTGTACACAATACACTATTGGTTTGGTTAGGTTAGGTTAGGTTTATTATAGTTAGAAGAAAGTTTTGCAGCAAAAATCAACAATCCTAATCCAACCAATATTTCTCTATTTTTTGCTGGACACCTTTTCTTAGAAACGTTACGTTATTTCTAATGTATTTTCTTCGTCCTGTCCCACGCGTTATATATAAATAATTCTTTCAACAGTAATAACTCATTTTGATATAGACTATTTTTCAAAAGAGTCTTAAGAAAGAAATAGTTTTTTACTGATTCCAAAAAAATGTCTACCTACAGTATTTCCCCGGATTGTCTTTACAAGAGGAAAAACTCTTTTATTATTGACATTTTGAGAAAAATGCATTCTTCATAAAAAAATTTCCTTGTTCTGAAATGGTTAATTTCGTTTATATTTTTTAAAATTTCCATACCGTTTTAGAGGAAATAAAAAAACATGAAAATATAGTTGAAGTTTTAAAAATCAAAACCAGGGGCGGGAAAGTGAAATAGCAAAAGCGGTTCCACCGTTTCCATGGAAATTTGAAATAAAATAGTTCCAGCCTCAGGCGCTAGGTGGTAGTGCAATTGATTTTTTGCAGATTTTTTGGTTAAGAAGTTGCTACTAGTTATTGCCAGATGACGTTAAATCAGAATTTTTTTGTAGTTTCCATAGTTTCCAACGGCCATTGTCATACTATTGTCAAATTCCCAAAAAATATTGTCGTTGTCATAGCGCCCATCATAATATTATCAAATGATTATCAAAAAGTTTTTCAAACCATAATTTGTTATATGTGTTTTAATTAAACAATTCCTTTCGTTTGTGCCCCTAAAAATATAATGTAAGTCTTTTATTTTTGCTATCATTTAAGTACCTATTTATATTTACTTCATTTACAAAACTTTGGGCGTATTACGTTGGTCTTGTTTTATTGGAATAAACGATGTTTAAATATTTGACTTATAAATAAAAATTTTAAATAATAAATAATATTTACACATGTTTGGCTTTAATTTTATTTAATAATTATATAAATTATACTGTTAAATCTTATTTTTTACACATCACAACGATACTTGTTTTTAGTATTGTTGAATTTGTGTAATAATCAAATTTAATTATTTTATAATTAATATTGAACTTAAAATTCAATAAATACGCTCATTTAAAAAGCCCGCGCTTCGATCCATTTGAAACAAGCCCTACTCAATAGATGGCGCCACTTCTGTAGGACCATTTTTCAGTATGGCAGAGTCCATTCTTTTTCTAGCTAGGTATATTCTTTGATCAAAACGCGTTTCTATGGTAATATAGTTTCGATTTCATTCTTTGATAGATTGTTATTGATAGAATTTTAATTAATGTCAAATTTTTTTTTTTTTTCGAGGTTTTTTTTAAAATGCTAAAGAAGCACAAAATTTATCTAGTTTAATGTTATGGAAAGGGCGATAATAGTTATTAGAAAATGTGATACTTTAACAACAGCAAAAATATGACGTTAATCAACATTAATAATAATCATCTATCAAAGAATTAAGTTGAAATTATATTACCATAGAAACGCGTTTTAATTTTTAGGACTGAAAAATGTCAACCATATTTTCATGCTTTTTTTAATTTTCTCTAAAACGGTATGGAAATTTGGAAAAGTATAAAGGGGATGTATTTTTCTCAAAATATCAATAAAAACAGTTTTCCTCTTGTAAAGGCAATCCGGGGACATACTGTATACCTTTGTTGCGGTCTATTACTACAGTGGGTGTTGTACGTTAAGATATATTTTAGATATCAAAGATACTGTTAATCTTTAAAGCAAAAAAGTTAAACAGTTTTCTTTTTTGGTTTCAGAAATAAGCTGCAGCAACCATTTCACCACTAAGCCATATAAGTGCCATAAACATAGACATTAATACGTAATCAAAGTGCAATATTGCCTAAAGTGACTTTTTTCTGTGATATAGACTTGCCATACATATATAAAGAATATAACATGACACGTAGAAGTATCGATAAAAGCTCCTCCACGCACGCATCTCCAATGGGAGAGGAAAACGGCATGATGTCTCCTCCTCCGCCTCAAGCATCTTCAGGCCGAACGGTTTCCCCCCTCCCATGAGACTATCCTCGAATTCACCCACGATGCTTGCTACCATGACACCTGTCAACGTCATGGAGTTAAAGAAGGAGATGGAGGAAGAAAGTGCCATGGGAAGGAACCCAGCTTACGCTCAGGTCAAAACGGAAGTCCTCTACGAAAAGGACGATGGGGAAATATATGCTCAAACCATAACAGATAAAAACGACACACCGATAGATCTGATCTACGAGGACGGGAACAAAACGGTGATATACACGACCACTCCCGATCAGAAAGGGTTGGAAATATACTCGGCTGACAATTCAGGGAAAATAACCATAAACAACATCAGCGCGCATCAGATCCACGCAGGCCAGCAGATAGCGGACGCTCTGATAGACGGGAACGCGGGAACAATGATGACGTCGAACAACGAACCCGTCAACAGCCCACCGGGAACCGTGTCTGTGGTACTGCAAGGGAACGGGCAGGGGTTGCTTCAGTACCCTCAGGCCCAAGTGCCCGGGACGACCGTTTTGGTTCTTTCCAAGAAAGTCAAAGTCCCTTTTAAATAAAATTTAAGTTGACTTTTACAAATATACAGGATGTCTCTGAAATAAGTGCTTGTAAAGTATTTTAAGTTGGGCTATATTACGACCCCAAAAATACGCCCAAAAAAATGTTGAAAATTTTACATGTTTTTGGCATATTTCGGGATATTTAAAAAACTTTTTAGTGCCGCCGGTGTAGGTTGCAGAAAAAGTATTACAATGTTACCACCTCCCACATTAACCACATTCTGCTTATTTGTGTGTTTTAATTACACAGTAATTTTTTAATCTTCTATTTACTAATCTATAAAAAATAATTTGAATAATATTGGTGATAATAATTAATTTCCGTGTGTTTTATGGGATTTCTCGTTTAGGAGTAGAGATAGGTTTTTTCACCTTTTCGGTAAATTATAAGATAACCGAGATACGAAGGGGGTCGAAAAATGCAAGATTTTCAATTTCTCCCTGTATTTCAGGAACTCAGAGGGCTAAGACAAATCTGTGTATAGCATGTAATCTGAAAAGCGCATATTGTGGCTCTACTTATAACCGAAAAATCCTGCAAAACAAAGGCAGGGTACAGGGTGTCCCATTTTCTTGTTTTTTTTTATGGGGTTTCTCGTTTATAAATAGAGATACAAAGATGAGGTTTACACATCACTATGCTACTTTTTTATGAAACTAAAGATGCTACACACCGATTTGTCTTAGCTTTCTTAGTTCCTGAAATACAGGTCGAATTTGAAAATGTTACGGTTTTCGACCCCACTCGTATCTTGCTTATCTTTTAACTTATCGAAAAGGTGAAAACTTAGCATCGTAGAGTTTTTCACGTAGAATCCAGTGGCGGAACTAATATTTTTGCTAAGAGCTGTCATTTTTGAAATATGATCCAAACTTATATTAACTATAACAATCTAGCAACCCCACCTGTAAGTATATAGAGTGTGGAGAAAAACTAACAATAAAATATCCAAAAAGGACACCAGAAGTTACCCTTAAAGAACATTATACCAACTTTACAACATACTTCTTATGGACATTATTTCATACAGAAACTCTAAAGATGTTAAATCAAATACAAATAAAAATAATCTTATATATTTATATGCAGCACTACCCAAGCGGCATTCTTACCTGATAAGTCACCTCAACAAAATTTAAAAGATTTGTACAACACAAATAATGATAAGAGTCTATCTCTGTACATATATTTTAAAGGTTAAATAAAGAACCTGTATTAAAGTTCTTATTTGAAAAGTTGGCGTGTTAACAAAATAAAACAATTTTTTTGAGAACTTAAAAAAGAGTAATTGAGTAATTGTCAAATTATTGTATTAATTATTATTAATTTCTCCTAAATTTAATAAAGCTACAATAAAATGTTGTTATTTTTGCGAAAGTTTGAAACATCCTGTGGAATGGTTTAACAAAGTATGAAATTCAAAAACCATTTTACATCAAGGTCAGAGAGGCGTATTAACACTTGAAACCGCCCAAAGCCCTGGGATATTTTGGCGCCCCTATTTTTATTCCATCTATTTTTTTCATGATTCAAATAACCCAAATATGAAAAAGTAAAAGTGCAAAACATTTTATTCTCAAACAACAAAAAAACATTTTATTTCTTAACGACAAGAAAGAATCGAGTTTAGTATCTAAATCTTTCCAATATTTTATGCTAAAAACAACTCATTATTGCAACTTCGAATCGCATTTACTTCTTAAATTTTTTGCTTCCGAACTTGTCGAAGATTTTTGAAGTTCATCCTCAGCTATTGATAGCAAAACCTCAGACATTTCATGGTATGACGTGTATAACGCTTTACTAGCATCTGCTCGTGCACTCCAGCGGGTGCCTGATAAATTTTTAATAGAAAACTTGGAATTAAGCAAAGACCATCATTGTGTTGATACCGAAAAAAAGTTGTATAATTCCTGTTCCACGCCAAAAAATGATGTCGAAGAAAAATGATGAAAAGTCAACTGAGGACGTACCTACTAGATTCAGTGAATGGGCTGCACATGGAATGTACGTCGCCAATGGATTGATTTATTTAATTTTTGCTTGTAATCCCGTATAGCAGCCAGACATGTTAGCAGCATTGTCGTAACTTTGTCTTCTACAATCCATTACATCAATTTGTAATTCTTTTAATTTTCTATGCCGTTTAAAAAGCCGTTTTTTTCTACCTTCGGTTGAAACTGCTTCTTAGTTTCATTTCCATATCTTTTTCGGTAATCGGTTAATGAGATGCACTTTGTCTTTTGACTGGGATATGTGGCGCCCTTTCAGATTTGACGCTACAAGCCTTGGCTTGGTCGGCTTGTACTATAATCCGCCTCTGATCAAGGTACATCTTTTCTCAATAATTTGTTTTTTGATTCAACTCGTTCCTTGTTGGAGGTATTTTTTAAAAAACTCGACCAATTAATAACAATTTTAGCATTAAAAGCATGCCTTTACTTTTGGTCCTCATCAATACACCTATGAACTAGTGTTTATTAATTGTTTGTGCAATGTCACGGAAGTTACTGTAGTAAAGATGGTTTTAAGTCCAGAAGTTCTATCGGCTATTGTTACTTTAATTTAATTGACTATCGCCAAACTAACATTTTATTTTCCCTTGTATGATAAATACATTTTCATATGTATTGCCCATATACATTTTTAATTAAGAAAGGTAAAGGGTACGATAATTTAGCTACAAATTGCTTAAAAAATCGACCGACTAGAACAAAATACTTCGAACTTTTGTGGTGTGTATGAAATTTTGTACGGTGTATTTTTTTTATTTTTGGACTACATAAAATAAATATTTGTTTAAAGTCAACTCTAACTTAATAAATTTAAATATTTCTCTAAATCATAAATAATTAATACTATATCAGTGTTCCTCTCTCTTTCAAACGAGTGTACGTAATAAAAAGGATAATAGAAAAAGATACGCATACTTTCAAATTTTAATTAGAAAACATTCAAGGTAGAACACGTTTGAATACAATACTTGTTTAACATTTTAAAACAATACGAGATGGATTCTCTTGTAAATGAGAGTAGTTATCAATATATTATTAGTAAAATGGTAGTTTAGTGTGTAATTTATTCTGTATTGTTTGTTTTAAGTTCTAGGAAGACCACAGTGATTTTTAATTTCTAGGTTGGTACTTGTTGATTTAATTTAAAAGAGCTATTATAAGTATATTTCACACGATATGTCAGTAATATATTGACAAGAATCGATTGAATAAATGCAATACTTCCTTATTACTCGTTACGTTTAATATTTTAATCACCTGTCACACCTCCGAATAAAATAGAATGTTTCATTTAATGCATTGTTTTTATTTATAACAAGGAAATCAATGTATAATTGATTTCATTGTCAAGGCCATTGACAAAGTGCTATATGGAGGGTTCAGTCTCCAAGTTGCTTGGCTTTTTGAAAATGATAGGACTGGAGAATATAACCTAGAGATAAGATACTTCAAGAACTTCAACAATAGATATGAACTCAAATGGTTATATTTGAATGGTTGCTATGACGTTGTTTTTTCATTCACATAATAAAAAAAATAAACATATAGATCATACCCTTGGATCATACCAAATATAAACTTTAAATAAACTTTTAGTCACGTGATTAAGCTTGACCGGCACAGCCGTTGAAAACTTTTACATATTTTCTTTTATTATTTACATTAACAAAAGTCACCTCTTTAACAGCACTTAAGGGACATAAAGGGTCATTACTACCGCTTTCCCGTTCAAAATATTCTAATAAGGTTTCGATGAGTATTTTACAACGGCTATTAAGCTATCTTGTACACTTCGCACTAAAAGAGGTTCTAAAAAGGACAATGTTCGACTGCAAGGTCTGCTAGTAAAAATATTTAAGCTTAAGGTATCACAACATAATTCATTTAAACCAAAAACTCATAATACAAAACTAAACTGTCAAAACAAATGGCAATGTCAGGAAATAAATAAATAAATGTGGCAACTTGACATTTTTTTACAGCAGAGCTACCACCTGAATCCCCAGCGGAAAATTTACATTCCAGTTAGTCAGCCCGGTACCGAATATGTCCATGGTTGGCAACAATGAATTTAAAAATCGCGATCCTCGATTACGTAACTAAAATTTTAATTCCCTGATTATACTGATAGACGGGCCAAAAATTAAAAAAAAAAACTATAAACATACTTATTAGAAGAAAATAAAGAGAATACTTGGTGACATTATCAGTTCCTATTTTACAATGGCTCCTTAGTGCATCAGTCTACAGTGTCTCCCCCAGTAACTGCACCACTGGGCGTCATAAAGATTTAAAGCCTCGTTTACAAATTGGATGTAATAATACCCACCGCATATTTCCGTTCACGTTCGGGTGTCGTAGAGGGGTACAGTGAGACCCCCAATTTTAGAGAAACCCCCGCTGTGGGGCTCACGTCCTTTGTCTCGCCTTGACCATACTATCGCCATCCCATAAAAATAAGAAAACCTAGAGGGAATATAAATTCCTTGTTGATACGGTAGCCAATATCAGTTGAGCACATTGCTCAATTGTTCATGCGTTGTAGAAATTTAACGAAATAATTAAAATGTAGGAATAATAATTACAATATTATATTTCGTTTCACTATAATGTAAGATGTACGACAAATAGAAACGCAGCAATCGGAGATGCTAAAATAGAAATCGATAGATTGAACAGAAAAGATCGGAGCAAATAGCTAAACAGTGTAGCATTAAAACTGTTTTTGAATTAGGAAGTACTTTAAGACGCATCTTAACATAAACATGGCCGGTTACATTAAAAACAGAATGAGTGCAGCTACATGATACCTTGAGAATGTGGTAGTCGTATATTGGAGAGAAAAAACGTCCTCTAAATGTACAACTCAACGAACGTAAAAAATATGAAAGATGAAACAATGAAGTCTAAGAGTAGAGCAGATCAACATATTATATACCGTGTTGTCCACAAGGAACTCCATAGAAAAAAGCGTAAATTTAAAGACGTTTTTATATCAAACGGGAATATTTTTAGAAATCCAAGAATGAATTTTTTACAATATAGTACTACTTATAAAGCACAACATACAGCAAATAGCCATCTTATCGGATAGTCAAGCAGCACTAAGCGATCAACTCAGTGACCATCAATTTGAAGTTGGTTAAAAAATGACTAGAGAAACTATACAAATTAAGTAAAGAAAGTCCTCCTACTGGGTGCCTGCTCATCAAAGGATAGAAGCAATTAATAGTAG